AGATTCTGAAAATACTGTTGGAATAAGGATGCGATGTTACCCTAACATGGGTGATGGAATTTATCATCCAGTTGAAGGATATTACAGAAGATGTTATATGGATTACAAGCAAAAAAAAAAGTTGTTTTTTTTTTTTAGGATCTTATTTACATAAGGGAATATTTTTCTAGGGGAGTGGGCAGAAGAATAAAGATATTAAGAATAATTATGGTAATTTTGTAGGAAAGTGGGTGGAGATAGGATAGGTTACGGATTGTTTAGTTTAAAGAAAAGGGATATTATGTTTAGATCTGAATGTATGTAATGAAGGGGGGGAAGGAAATTAGTTGAATTGAATAAGTGTTAAATTAGGATTTATTGAATAGTTTTAGAGCGGAAGTATGCTTTGAAATGTTATATTGTATGGGGGGTAGTAAAAGGGTAGATCACGAGCCGAAATTGTTAAATTGGGAGATATAATAATATCATTATGTTAAATCAGGAGTTACTAGATATTGTTATAATAGAATGTCACTTTGAAATGCATATTACAGCATAGTATAAGGGGGGTATGATAATTTTATTAGAAAGAAAGGGTCAGTATATGGAGATGGAGTAAGTGGATAGCAAAGTATGATATAATCTGTTATGAATTTGGGTTTATTATGAAGAAGTCAAAGGGGAAGGGGGGGTGAGGGGGGTTAGGGAGGAGGGGGGGGGAAAGGAGGAAAAATTTGTATTTGAAAAACTTTTTCAATTAAAAAAAAAAAAGAAGAAGAAGACTTGGCCTATCAAATAAAGATGCCCAAACAAAACTTTTTTGAAAATGCTAATAAACCAGATAGATGGTTGGCATACAAAATGAAAAAGGAGAAGGAGAAAAAAATCAATTAATCAACTAATAGATGAGAGAGGACAGACATGTTACCGAAACGAGGAAAAGAAAAAAGTGGTACAGAAATACTATAAGAAACTCTATGAGCAAGAGATAGTATCAGAAGAGAAGATTATACAATACTTAGAAAAGTCTAATCTACCAAAAATACCAGAAGAATATAAGGAGGTCCTGGATGGAAGAATAATGATGATGGAAGTGATAGAGAGCATCAAAAGACAGAAGAATGGCAAAACACCAGGTCCAGATGGATTACCAGCAGAATTGTATAAAACTTTTCAGGATGTGCTAAGTAATATAATGCTGGAAGTGTTTGATGATCTTTTAGTAAATGCAGAAATACCTGATTCGTGGAGGGAGGCGTATATTACTCTCATACCGAAAGAGGATACAGATCTACAACAAATTAAAAACTGTAGGCCGATCTCTTTGTTAAATGTAGACTATAAAATATTTGCATCAATAATGGTGAATAGATATGAGGGATGAGTTGGGTCTTACGGATATATGGCGAGCGCTTCACCCTCAGACAAATCAATATACCTTCTTCTCTCCCAGGCATATAAATCTTAGTCGAGGCTGGATATGATGTGGGCAACTACAGATTTAAAGACCAGAACTGTAGCGACAGAGATAGAACCTAATACCTGGGCAGACCATAGTCCATTATTGGTTAGGTGGAAGAGGGATACAATCAAAAGAAATAAGAGGTGGATGTTGAGAGCAAGTATTTTAACAGAGATGGAATTTCAACAAATGGTAGAGAGAGAAATGGAAGCCTTTTTTAGGGTCAATGATAATAAGGAAACCTCGATACAGATTTTGTGGGATACAGCGAAAGCCTATATGAGAGGGTTAGCTATTAAATATATAGTGGGGAAGAAAAGACAGAAATTTAAGGAGAGGGAAATGTGAACAGCAAAGTTGCGGACTGCAGAGAGGAATTTACAGATTAACCCACTAGATGTTAAAGCTAAGGAAGCAGTAGACGCAAGTAAACATCAACTCATACTACTAGACCAGAAGGAAATAGCACATAATCTTAGAATGGCCAGACAGCACCACTTTGAACATGCTAATAGGGTGGGCCGATGGCTTACTTATAAACTAAAGAAGGAAAGGGAAAGTAGGTAGATAGATCAATTACAGGACAAGACGGGAGTCATATGAGTAGATAATGAACAGAAAAAAGGGACCGCACAGGAATTCTTTTCACAACTTTATGCTAATGAGCAAGTGCCGGATGAGAAAATCAAGGTATACTTGGAATATTTGGATCTTCCCAAATTTCCAGATTCAGTCAAGGACCCGTTGAATAAGGAGATTACGGAAGGAGAGATGGAAATTGCGATCAAGAGGCAGAAGGCCAGTAAAACCCCTGGTACTGATGGCTTGCCTGCGGAGATCTATAAAACCTTTACAGATCTGTATATAAAATATATGAAGGAAATTTTTAATATGGTATTGATGGAGTCTAGGGCTCCCAAATCATGACTAGAGGCCTATATTTCTTTAATACCGAAGGAAGGGGTAGACCACACCCTGATACATAATTATAGGCCTATCTCACTTTTAAATGCCGACTATAAAATTTTTGCAACTGTAATGGCAGCTAGATTTAAGAGATACCTTAGCGAATTTATCCATATAGATCAAAATGGTTTTCTAATGGCCAGACAGTTGAAAGATAATGTACGGATCATAATGGATGCCCTGGAATATTACGAGGCCCACCCTGAGAAGCAGCCATATATTTCACAATTGAAATATATGGAGGCTGGCGATCATTTCATGAATGCAATCCAGGCAATTTATAGTCAACAGAAGGCCAAGATTTTGGTAAATGGAGAAGAGTTGGAGGAGGTGACGATAGCAAAGGAAACGAGACAAGGCTGCCCACTCTCCCCATTGTTGTTTATATTCATGCTAGAACCTTTACTTAGGTCAATAAGACAAGAGGTGAGCATAAGAGGACTAAAGATCAAAGAACAAGAAAGAATACAAGGTCCAGGCATTTGCAGACGACCTGGTCTTTGTTCTGGAAGAGCCACTAACCTCCGGAGGGCGACTTATTGACATAATACAGAAATTTGGTGAAGTAGCTGGATTACAAATAAATAGGAAAAAAACAAATATCATAGTTAAAAAGATGACGGAAATACAAAAATTAGAACTACAAAACATTTTGGGCCTCCAAGTAGTTCGTAAAGTTAAATATTTAGGGATTTGGCTGTCTGATAAATGCTCCTCAATAAAGGCGGATAACTATTTAAAATTAACTGAGCAACTAGACAAAGATTTGGAGAAATGGGGCAAGATACAATTGTTATTAATGGGGCGGATAGCCTTAATTAAGACCCACATAGTGCCCAGAATGGTATTTCTCTTTCAAACGGCCCCAGTTAGACTGGATAAAACCATTTTTAGGAACTTGGACAGGGCTACAAATAGATTTATTTGGCAGGGCAAAAAGCCTCAAATTAAGTTGAAAACGATGCAGAAACCGAAAGAACAAGGCGGGTTGGGGGTCCCAAATTGGAAGTATTACTATAATTTGGCGGTATTGGTTTGGATCCGTAAATGGATTACACTACAAGGGAGACGTCTGTTAGCAATCGAAGGTCACGATCTCCAACAGGGGTGGCATGCCCACCTATGGTGGGAAAGAGGCAAACCCCCAGCATATTTTACGAAACATCACATGCGAGGAGTCCTGATTGAGAGTTGGATGGAAATTAGGAAAACATATTATAATAAGGTACCACTCTGGGTTTCACCTGTGGAAGCTATGATCTATCCGATTCTGTATAATCCAGAGAAAAAATTGACCTACAAAGAAATATTAGATATGAATGTGAAGTTAAAAACAAAATTGTCACTTCAGGAACAAGGAGTGAACCTAGACTGGTGGAAGTACATGCAAATTAGTAGTAAGTATATGAGAGATAGACAGAGATAGAGATATGTCCTTTTAAGTGTTTGAAGACTATGACCATGTTCTTCCTTAGTCTTCTCAAAGTTAAATATTCCCAATTCTTAAGTACAGTATCTTTAGAGAACTTGGTTTCTAGTTCTCTGATGAACCAAACTGTTGACTCTATATTGGCCTGCACATCCACCAGAGAACATTCAGAAATTATTTATTTGCTTGCTAAGATAAACAAACTTTGGAAGAAAGTATATTGCAGCGTCCAGATGAAAGGCAAAGACCCTAGAAATTGTTTTAACTGCTTTGTAGGAATGTTAGTCATAAAGGACATACTCTTGGTAACTGGTTGTTTTTGGTTGCCATTGTTGTTGCTGTTTGTTTGCTTAAATAATGGCACCAGCTATACAAACAGGGGAAAGTGTTGGCAAATCAAAAAGGAAATGTGAATTGCAGAGTCGAACCTGAACAAACATGGAATTCTGCGACAACTTCAGAAGTCAAACTGTTCCATTGATTATGCCAAACTTTTATTGCCTTTTTGATGAAGTGATTATGGATATGGTTTCCTTGGACTTCAGTATAAAGTAATGGCTCTTTGGCATTCTAGAGATGCTGAAATACCTACCTATTTTTTCAAACGGATGGTTTTGAAAACATTTTTCAAAAACTATCTTCAGCGCCTACGAAGTACTGTACTTCAGCCAAGGCATTTTCATTTAGATTCTATTGGCCTCAGATTATATCACAACTGATATCCTTTGTGAATGCAGTGGTTCAATGAAGGACACAAATTGGCACAAAAACATACTTCTGAATTTAATGGAGAAGTTCTTCTTATGAAGTAAGAAGTTATATATGCAAAGAACATTGGCTTGAAAACACAAGCTACTCCAGTTTACTCAGAGGTAGGCCTAGTCATGTTTAATGAAACCTACTCCTAGGAAAGCATGAAGTTAAAACTCTTAACTTAGCTAGGTTTCATTTTGAGACATTGATAGGATTAAGACTAAACTTTTCATTCCTGAATGAAGAACTGATTTCACACCAATGAATAAAATCAGCATGGAGACACATTTTGTCATGTATTCCTTTATTTACTAGTCTTTCTAATCTAGCTCTCTAAAGATAGACGTGTCATATTTCTGCACCGGGAAGAGTCTAGATTCTATGATGGTTAAAAGGAATTCATTTCCTTACCTTTTCACTCCATGCCCAAAGACCAGCTCCAAGAAAGACAACACCAGCTAACTAAAAAAAAAGGAAAAAAGAAAAAAATAGATATTATTTTGTGCAACCGATACAAAAAGAACATGCCTTAGCAAATTTGCACCAACAAGATCCACACTGGATGTGAGTTGTCTAATTTTATTTATTTATTTATTTATTTATTTAATTTGTATACCGCCCTTCTCCCAGAAGGGACTCAGGGCGGTGAACAGCCAAAATTAAAAAACATACAAATGCAAAAGTTAAGATAATTAAAAGAATTAAATCATTGGCTACCTAATTTAAAACCCCAAATCCATAAAATTTAAAATCCCAATTAAAAACCATTTAGGCTAGGCCGGCTTGATGAAATAAAAACGTCTTCAGGGCTTTACGGAAGGTCCGGCGGTCCGGGATCAATCGTATTCCAGGAGGCAGCTCATTCCACAGGGCGGGTGCCCCCACAGAGAAGGCTCGCCCCCTGGGGGCCGCCAGCCAACATTGCCTGACCGACGGCACCCCGAGGAGGCCCTCTCTGTGAGAGCGTATTGGCCGGTGGGAGGTTATTGGTAGCAGCAGGCGGTCTCGCAAATACCCTGGCCCTAAGCCATGGAGCGCTTTAAAGATGAGAACCAACACCTTAAAGCGCACCCGGAAGACCACCGGGAGCCAATGCAGCTCGCGCAGGAGAGGTGTTACGTGGGAGCGCGTAATAAAGAGATAATGCAATCATTGTATGCTGGATAACTTGGCTCAAACCTTTTCATTTCCAACAGTGGTGACAAATAACCAATATCCATTCTGGGGGTTAGAAGGAAAAGAATGGAAATAAAACTCACCAAGTTATAAAGATTGTACAAAGCTAGGGTGTGGAATATTCTGGGAAACCAATCTCAGAAAGGCTACTCAGCTGTATGGAAACAAGCAAGAGAAGTGAAGCCAGAGAAGTGAAGCAAGAGAAGAGGAGCAAGAGAAGAGAAGCAAGAGAAGTGAGTAGTAGGGCTGTATTACTATTATCCTTCTCATCTTTCCTATTACCTTCTCCTATTAGTATCTTACAGTATATCATTTTGTTGCTTGTATGTACACTGGGAGCTTCTGCACTAGAGACAAATTCCTTGTGTGCCCAATCACACTTGGCCAATAAAAAATATTCTATCCAAAGGAGAGTGAAGCTTGCTAATTGAAAATATGTGGGAAGGGAGGAAGAGAGGCCAGGTTTCTTGCATCGAATGGGAGTCCTGAAAGGAAATGGTGACATTAAAAAAAGAAACATTGAATTAGTTAAAAAAAACAAAGGAGAATAAGGACTCCATCTGGTAGTTGAAGGCACAGGAAGAGAAGAAAATCTCCAGGATGAGATAACAGATGGTACCAAGTCAATTCTTCTGCTATCTTTTTTTTTTAACAAAGGCCATTCTCACTTTCCAAAGACCAGGGAGACAGCTGAGCTAGCAAGTTAACATGGCCTTCCTGAGCCCCCTTATTTGCTGACTCCACAAGTCTATTGGAAAAGAGAAACTCTGCAAGTAAATTATCAGCATGGCTTGTCCAAGCCTGCATCTGGCCAAGCAGCCTGCATGCAGGCAGAAGGCATAATCTTCAACTACAATTCTCTGGAGCAATAAAATGGGGGGAAAGACAAAACAGAAGTCTAGGGTTGTGCTGAAACAGTTGAAAGCATTCAGATACCATCTCAACATTCCCAAAGTCTTCTGAGACCCAAGCAACACTTTCAACTTCAAAAAAAAAAAAATTCCTTGAGCAAAAAAAAAAAAAAAGACTCTTCCAAGCTAATAACATTCCTGAAAGAGTCAGAACACTTCATGCACGATGGAGCAACTGATTCAAGCTTGAATATTACAAGGTCAACATGCCATGGCAATCCCAACAGATGACTTTTGTCCTTTCTCCAGTAATCACTTTTTTTGAAGGTAACCGAAGGGGGGACATATTAATCCACAATATGAAGAGAGAACTTTGAGTAACTGGTGGCAAAATTGTGTGGACCAGTCAAAGAACTAATCTATACTTTTACCCCCCAAAAATAAAAATAATAATACATCCTTTGATTCCAAAATCTATTTGTTGAGGAGTGTGTTAAATTGGACCATTCTACTCACATCCTTGTTTTCTGTAGAAGAAAATTTTCTTATCTATTCCCCATATAAAAGGAATAAATATGATTCTACGGAAGAGAAAGCAACACAGTAGAAACAGCAAATGGGGGGAGAGGAATACAGACAGATGATAGGTAAATTGGTAGGTAGGTGAGTAGGTAAGTAGACAGACAGTCATACAGAGAGACAAACAGTCATACAGAGAGACAAACAGGCAGGCAGGCAGGCAGACTTTCAGATAGGACTGGCAACTCTTGCATTAGAACCAATTTCCCCTGTTAACCAGAGTAGACATTGAGAAGTGATATATCTTTTATTTTTCCATCACACTAGTACACGTTCCACCCCGTCTGTTCAAAGGAAGTTTATTTTGAGCTCAAAACAATCAACACAGCTGGGCACCATTTCTGCTAATTCACTGTTGCATAAAGTCAGAGAGGAAAACAGAATTTTCATGCGAAAAAAATATTGAAGAGTAATTTGAGAGAGAGAGAAAGAAATATTCAGAGTTCCAGCTAAGATTAGGGAAATTTGAGGTCGAATAGAATATTAAAATTATAAATAATTATTGTGGCTATTTTGGAATCAAAAACGCACCAGAGGAAGACCTTCATAAATTAAATATCAGTTTTTTTAATGTTCCTATTGTGTTTCTATATAAGATAAACTGTTAGATCGGGCGAGTGAGGAGCCAGTAGCCAGGTCAAAGTGAACAACTACTCTTTAATAGGTAGTGAGAATCCAGCAACTTTGCAGTTCAACAGCTCTCCTTATATAGCTACTATCCAAGTGTCTTAACCAATGAGCATTGAGATTTTTCCTGCTCTAATTTCCCTCCAAAATTAGATACATAACACTACTCCCCTCCCAGAAGGCATTTTACCGAACTATTTACATACATAATCATGCAGGTGACTAGGGCGTTCCCTGATTCTAGTTGACCTGCGCAATTCAGTCTGAGGCGGGGATTTGGGCTGGTCGGAGGGACCCTTTGTCTCTCCCAGCCCAGCCAATGGGACCTCCTGGAATTTTTTATGGATGTTGCACATTTCGGATGGGCCTGGCTTTTTGAGGAGGCAGCGGTGGACAGCCAAGTCATCAGGTAAGTTTTCCAGCCACTTCGGGTTTGAGTTAGCTGTTGGAGGAATGATTGGTGAGTCAGGGACTGGTTTGTCTATTTTGCTTTCCGGCTTGTCAGGCATTGTTTGGGTCAGACATTTCCTTAACTGGTCAATGTGTCTTCGCCATACCCTTCCATTACTGACTTCTACAACATATGACCTGGGCCCAGTAATATCAGTGATCCACCCAGCCACCCAGAGGAGACCTTCCGCGTAATTTCTCGCAAGACAGCAGACCCCATAGAGAAACTTCTAGTCTTACTTTCGGCTTCCTCAGGGGAGTAATTGGGGTGTAGCCTATCTAGGGTGCAATGGAGTCTCCGGCCCATTAAGAGCTCTGCCGGACTTTGTCCCGTTGCCATGCATGGGATAACATGCTGGGCTGCTAAAAAAGTATCAATCTAGCTTGCCAGTCTCCCGGTCCAAGTCTGGCCAAGGCCTCTTTGGCCAATCTAACAAATCTTTCAGCTTGACCATTACTGGCCGGATGGAAAGGTGCTGTGAGTGCGTGACGGACTCCTATCTCCGCTAGGTACCCCTCGAATTGAGTAGCCGTAAGTTGAGGTCCATTATCTGACACCAGGGTGTCAGGTAGCCCATGTGTGGTGAATAGTTTCCGGAGCGCTTTAATTACAGCCTCCGCAGTGGTGGAGTGCATTAGAATGATCTCCAGTCACTTAGAATAAGTGTCCACCACAATCAGAAAGGTTTGACCATGGAATGGGCCAGCAAAATCAATATGAATTCGGGACCATGGTCCCGGGGTCTCTCCCACTTTTTGGACTGGGCAACCAGGGGAGCGGGGCAAGACTCTTGACAGGGAGTACACTTGGCCACCCAATCAGCAATACAATTGTCCACATTAGGCCACCTTACATAGCTCCGAGCCAGCCTCTTCATTCTCACAATACTTGGGTGTCCAATATGCAATGTTGTTAAAATCTCCTTCCTTAGGCTGGGTGGAATCACCACCTGGTCACCCCATAGCAAACAACCCCCTTGCGTAGACAGCTCATGTTGTTTACATGCAAACGGTTTGAATTCCCCGCCGACCAGATTGATAGGCCACCCCCTATGCACCCAGCTCATAACGGTTCGCAATACAGAATCTTTAGCAGAGGCCCTTGTGACTTCAGCAGAAGTGACAGGGCTAGAGTCCAAAGCGTCAATAAGCAGGACAGGGATGTCCAGGGTTGGGTCCTTCAGCAGGTCAGGCACCTGCTGAGGGCATCAGCGTGTCCTAGGTGCTGGCCAGGCCAATGGATGATACGGTACGAGTAGACAGTCAGAAAAATGGCCCACCTAGTGAAACGGGGGGACACAGCCGCAGGAGTGGGTCTATCCCTGGCCAAAAGTCCGAGCAGGGGTCGGTGGTCTGTGACCAGTTCAAAAGTTCACCCAAACAGGTATTCATGAAATTTCTTGACCCCGGCAACAGCTGCCAGGGCTTCCCTGTCCAGCTGGCTGTAGTTCCGTTCAGCTCTGGACAGGGTGTGAGAGAAGTATGCGATGGGGGCTTCTAGACACGTCGGCAGTCTGTGGCTCAGAACTGCCCCCACTCTGAAAGGGGAGGCATCACAAACGAGGCCAAGGGCCATTTCATTATATTGGATCAGGAGGCTGTCAGCCGAGAGGAGTTTTTTGACAGCCGCAAACGCCGTGGCTTCCCTCCGTCCCCAAACCCAAGTAGACTATGGAGTCTATGGAGTGGTTCGGCCACTGTGGCCTTGTCTTTTAGAAATATTGCATAAAAGTTTAAAAGTCCCAGGAATGCCTGTAGTTCCGCCCGGTTTGTTGGGGT